CTTTTTTTTTTCTGAGACAGAGTCTTACTCTGTAACCTAGGTGAGTGAGTACAGTGGTGCAATCACAGCGTACTGCAACCTTAAACTCCAAGGTTCACAGATCCTCCTGCCTCAGCCACCCAAGTAGATGGGGCTACAGCAAGGTGACCATACGTCCCGCTTTTGGTGGGACAGTGTCCTGATTTTTAACAATTTGTCCAACGTCCTGTGGCATTTTAAATAAGTCCCAATTTTTGGAAAGAATGCACGACAAGCTAGGGAATGGCGGAACAACGGGAAGGGAATATATGGTTTTCAGCTGCTGAAAAGGTTAATGTAACTTCATTTGGAAATGAAAAGGCTAATGTAAACTCCCTACTCCCCTCCTGGGTAAGGTCGCCCAGGTGGACCGGCGCCCCACTCCTTTGAGCCACAGGCACCGCACTATACATAATTTTTTAATGTACTATATTTGTAAATTGTACTTATATTGAAATTAAAAATATATATTACAATACTATTTTTGCATTCTATGAAAATTTTTGTTGCTCCATATAGACCAAAGTTTAAATTAAGAACCCACCTCCCCAGACATACACACACCCCCGTCAATGGTGTCCTGCTTTACCAATATTAAAATCTGGTCACCTTAGGCTACAGGCACACTCAACCACACTTGGCTAATTTTTCTTTTCTTTCTTTCTTTTTTTTTTTTAGTAGAGATGGGGCTTTACTATATTGCCTAAGCTGGTCTCAAACTCTTAACCTCAAATGATCTTCCAGCCTCAGCTCCCAAAGTGCTAGAATTACTGTGCTCAGCCAATACTTGAAACTCATAGGGGTGTCCAACCTGAGGCCATGGGCCACATGCAGATTATTTGATGATTGTTTTATTTATCTGTGGTGTTAGATATTGCAAAAAGTATGCACTGACTTTTCTTGTGCTCATCAGTTTTCATTAGCGTTTGTGTATTGAATATATGGTCCAAGCAACTCTCATTCTTCCAAAGTACAAACAGAAAAGAAAACCGGTCAGACACCCCTGCAAGGATAGTCAGAGAAGGCCTCAGTGAGAAGATGACCCAGACAAACAGAATCCAAAGAAAGTGGAGCTAAGAATGAGTCCAAAGAAACCATGTGGCTCTCTGCGGAAACACTATTTACCTAGAAATAGCAAGTACAAAGTCTCGACTGTCAGGATACTGTTAACAAGTTTGAGAACTAAGGCTAGCAAGACAAATAGACTACACAAAGGGAGAGATTCTGCAGAGACCAGAGGACTGTCGCTGAGCAAACTTAGGCTTCTGCTCTGAGATAGAGAACTACCACTGGATGGTTTTAAGCATAATATGACTTTTTATTTTAAACAAATCACTATGGTTGCTATCCTCAGGAAGTACTACAAGAGGCAAATGCAGAAATAAGGATACCAGGAGGAAGTAATCAGAGTAATATAGGATGTCACTGTCCTGGACCAGGATGATACTGGTAGGGAGAAGAGAAGCAGTCAGATTCTGCAAGTATAGTGAAGACAGATCCAACAGGATTTACCAACAGATTCACAGATTAAATAATATAAAAGAGAAGGGTCAAGGATGATCCAAGGGTGCTGACCTGAGTGAGTGAAAGAGAGCTTCATTTCAGAAATGTTAAGCAAAAGTTGCACTTAAGAGGTCCCAGTATAGATATGAGATAAGCAGTTGAATATATAAACATCAAGTTTGGGGGAAAGAACTAGCTGAAGACATAAATTTGGATGCCATCAATGTACAGACAGCATTTAAAACCCTGAAACTGTTTATGACAATTCTTACAGCTTAAAAATGAGCTGGGTAAAAATATTCATTCCAAAATTGATGCTCAAGCTTAAATTGAACTGGTAAAGTTGCCTTAATTTTCATCATCCCTAAGATTTTGTATTAAAGTGAGTTGGCATTAGAATGTCTGATAGCACATCATAGGCACTGAGATATCTTTTTAATGAATTATGAATTTTCAGAACAGGAAAGACTCTTAAAGATGAATCAATATATTCATTTTTACAGATGAATAAATAAAATCTCAAAAAAGTGTATTGATTTGTTCAGGGTCACTCAACTAGTTAGGAAGGGGCATACATACAGGATCCCAGATCTTACTGTGAATAAGTAACTTTGACTTAATAAAGATAGAAAAATCTTGCCCATTTGTTAACTACAGACTAATCTTACCTCTTCAGAATGTAGTTAAGAATAAAGAGTCAAAATAGGCCCTGGAGTATATGTAGGCAGCCATAAAATCTATGCAATCAAGCCCACATACTTCAGTAACTAAAAGTCCCTGCAATGCTTGCTCTGACCTGAAAACACGCAAACAAGTAGCCTAGAACTATTTATTCAGTTAAACAGGCAGAGGACCACTCAAGCACAAATTCTTATCAGCATTTTAGGTATCAATGTATCACAGAACAATTATATAAGAAATAGAAGGGCCAGGACTGGAGCCCAGTTCTGCCTGAATTCAAAACATAAACAGTGAAATTATGTCCTACATCCTCTTTGTGAGCTACTAAAGGAATTATCTATCACAACTGTGATCTAAAATGTTTAAATTTTTGAAGTGGGAGGGCTTACAGAAAAACTCATACCTTGGTGATAGACCAACCAAAGCAGTAAATAACACTCTCTACTGTTGATTCCTACAAATAATAATAAAGACGGAAAGTGGCAGCTATGCAAAAACAGAGAAACAGTATTTTCTTAATTAGGTCAAGAATGATGTTCCACTTGGACAAAAATATTTATTCAATGCAACAGGTTCTTAAGAATATCATTTTAAATAAAACTAAGTCAAGGAAAAAAACACATGTTCTTTGAAAATAAAAGCCACAGGCCAGAGATGTAAGAGCTACACATCAGTCTTATCTCTGAAAACCTCTGAAATTATTTCAAATAGCCTTTTATTATTCATTTTAGAATATTAAATTTTAAAAAATCATAATGGCACGTAAAATGGCAATGATAGATGGGAAAGACAAGGAGAAATAAAATCAATAAGCAAAACAAATGTCTTACATTTTAATCATAAGATTAAACTTCCTCCCTCATCAATCTTAAACAAGAGTTTAAGTAAATAATGAAATTGATTAGCATGAATTTCAACCCTACTAACTTTGCAAATGAAGTGCCATAGCAGTTTATACATAACAAATGTCCAAGAGATGTTTACCATAAGGACAATACAAATAAGAATGCCAATTTCAAGAAGACAAACAAAGGGAGAAGCAAATGATATAATCTATCTCCACATCTACAAAGAATGTTTCCCATGCCACCACACCTACTATAACAAAGAATTAAATAGCCTATTCCCTTGGGAGAGAAGGAGAGAAAAGGAGAGCTCAACTATCCTAAGTTGCCAAAAGGTCTGTGAAACCAAAGATATTAATCACTTCTCTTCACAAAATAGATGCTGTTATTTGCAGGGCTTCCTTTCTCTTAGTAGGGAGGTTGTTATGCTTTCAGTACCAGCTAAGGGAAAAAATACACCTTGAGATACAACTTTATTATCTCATATTAAATCAACAGCCAATAAATTCCTTTGGAAAGCATAGCCCCATCCTCTCATAGACTTCCAAGACTAACTGGTGAAGGACTTTAAAATAAGAAAAGCAATAACATTAATTATAAGAATCAGAGAATTTCAGAGTTTCCTAATCTAGGAAAGTATACCATCTTTTTTTTTTTTTGAGACTGAGTCTCACTATGTTGCCCTCGGTAGAGCGCCATGGCATCACAGCTCACAGCAATCTCAAACTCTTGGGCTCAAGGGATTCTCTTGCCTCAGCCTCCCAAGTAGCTGGAACTACAGGAGCCCGCCACAATACCAGACTATTTTTTTGTTGGAGTTGTCATTATTGTTTAGCAGGCCCGGGCCTGGTTCGAACCCACCAGCCTCAATGAATGTGCATGGCACCCTAACCACCAAGCTATGGGCACTGAGCCATATACCATCTTTTTATGACCTTGCTTAAGGAAATAACTACAGTTCAGAGTACAACTGGCTCCCAGTATCTGCTAGTTCCACATTTGTGAATTAAAGCAACCATGGATTGAAAATACAGTAGAACCTCTATAGTTGTAGCCTAGATATGTAGTAGGCTATACCATCTAGGTTTATTTAAGTATTTAAGTACACTCTAATATTCACACAATGACAAAGTAACCTAATGACACATTTCTGAGAATAAATCCCTACTGCTAGGCAACACATGACTGTACTTAGGTATGTAGGCCCTAGACTATTATCTAAATACAATGTTCTTAATAAAAATTCTTACTTGACTTACATGATTAAGACTAAAAATAATTCAAGATATTATTTGTAAAACATGCCTTTTAATATTCTTTTAGGTAACCAAACTTACATATGCATGCATTTGACAGCAACGAAGTAAAGCTGCAAATCTGAGCTTTATAAAATACAATCAAGTATGTATTTCACATGGCACATCGATTAATACATCCTGAAGAACTCTGAGAATTAGTGGATTAATACGTAACACAAGGAACTACAGATATGTGTACGTACATGGGTTAACACACACATATGCATACATGCATATCATATATATAAAACCTAGCTCTGTCCACTTAGAGGGCCTAGAAGCAATGACACCCCAGTAGAAACAAGCATACTCTGTACCAGTTCATGGTTTCTAAAAAACATTCTCCAATAAAAGGAGCTCTTTGAGGAAATGATTCATTCTAGGGCCGGGGCAACAAAATACAGACAGAGTAACGTGCCACCCAAAAGTAAAGAAATCCTCACATTTGCATTTAACTCTTAATTGTACTTTATAACAGGAGAATTTCAGTTAAGAAATAAAATCTCATTACTATTAGATGTTCCACTGTCACCTCCCTGCATTTTGACTCAGAACATGCAACCTTGCAGTTCCTAATCCAAAGTGCACAGACTCAAGTGGAAACACATAGAAAAGGCAAAAGGAGTTAGAGGTTAGTCACAAAATTAAGCCATACCGTGCAAAATTCAAGCTTTTTACCAGTTCATCTAATATGCGGTTATTTTTTAGGTCCGGCTCTGTAACTGTCTAAAAAAAAAAAAAAAAGTCAAAAACAATAATTAACTTGTCATAATCTTGTTTTTGAAAATGTCTGACCCATCCTCCTGAGTTTCTCCATTCCACTAAGTCTTCCAAGAAAGCCTTAAAATAAATTTCATTTATCTCATACAAATATGGAATTTTAAAATAGTGAATCAGTATCTGCTGACTGGAAGTCTAATAATAAAAGCTCTCCAAAGTGCCGTTAAAATCACATACACTTTGTACTAAGACAATACCTAACATGAGCAAGAATCTTTCTTCACAATGCTAGCACTCAGCTCTCCCAAAAATTTCTCCTGAAAAACAGAAGAAAAATGCTCCTTTAAGTAATAACACTGGAAGAGGTATTAAGTGTTCACAGAGAGCTTAAAAACAAGATTGGTTTTCAGGAATACAAGAGAAAAATGATAAATCCAGTACTTATTTAGCATGAATGATACACAGTTTATCTCAGCAATGATATCATCTTGACAAAGGCACTGTAGCACAGTTGTAAAGATCTGAGTTTTGGAAGACAAACTGCATAGTTTTTTACACAGTTCAGGGAAGTTCAATGACATCCCGACTAATTACATGCCAAAGAGGCCAAACTAGCCAACACCTCTACTAGTCCCAACGTCCTTTCTGTCAGATGTCACAGTCTCTTCTAATTTCCTTTCCACTTATGTTTAATTTCCGTTTAGTCTACCTTTGCACCTGTTACCACTACTTGAAAAGTTTCAGAAACTATAATAACAAAATTTCTAAGTGTTTTCCCTGAAGGTCTGGCTTGGGAAGAGATAACGCTACCTGTTAGACTGGGTTAAGCCCAAGGGCCATAAATCTTTGCCTTCTGCACAAATACTAAGACCAGTCCTTTACAAATGACTAATCTTAGCATCAGGGTTTCACCAAAGGTGAGAAATAATAAAAACTTAAAAGCCAGAAAAACATGGGTTATAATAATTTAAAAGTGCTATATCCTGGCTCTTAAAATTAGTCTTTACTTCCTAAAATACATTTAGATTATGAGCAATTTAATGAAAATTCAACAAAGGACAGTTCTCCCTACATGTGCTTCAGAAGTCCTTCAGTAGCTACGCATCTTCCCATGGGCTTTTCTGTGTAAAGAAGAACTACTTGCACCAATCAATAAGTTAGAAAAAAAGAAAAACTTACCACACAACAAGTTGGACACTGAGTTTTATAGGATAGAAATTTTCTTATACAGAGAGAACAGTCTGCAAAAACACAAAATGCAACACAGTAAATTAATTAAGCAAAACAGGAATCTGACTTCTAACAAAATGACTTACCCCCTAGAAAACTATCATCTAGGGCAGTGGTTCTCAACCTTCCTAATGCCAGGACCCATTAATACAGTTCTTGTGGGTGGCGACCCACAGGTTGAGAACCACTGATCTAGGGTGTATTTTTTTTCAATGCACAAAGCTCAGTCATGATGGCCCCTGACTTTATTGATCTAAAAAACTTCACAAGGACACTGTTAGGGTATATTATCATAGTTTTAAATTTCTAGTACTTTCTAATCTATGCTCATTTACACATGTAATTAAATAGCATTTTTAGGGAAGGGAAATATATCAAATATAATGATCCCTAGGATATCACAACTCTACAATCAACATATATCACTCTCTGTGTACTCCACCTGCAAAACACAGGAAACACATAAGCTAGACCTGGGCTGGGTATTGGATAAACATGCTAGACATCTTCTCTACTGCCGACCATTCAAAGTTATATACACGTACATATTTTGAAATAAGATCTATACACTTAAGATATAATATATTCCCAGGCTATCTGTAAATAATATCCGTCATCCCACATTTAACAAGCATTTTTGTGGCAAGCACTAAGAAAAGAACAGTATATAAGGGAAAGTTCTTGACTTCAAGGTGCTAACAAAGTAGTGACGCAATTACAACACAATTCAATATAAATCCTAACAATTTAAGCAGAAAACAGGCCTAAAACTAAATTTGCCACGCACTCAAGACAGTGTAAAACACGATCCCAGTCAAAGAAAAAGCAGAAGTGACTAACTAGCTAATTTACTAGTAGCCCAAATTCAGCCAAGTTGAGGGGCTTGTTAAAAAGCGTTCAGCTGAGGAGGAAGAGATAGCATAATTTCAATGGTACAGATATCCAGGAAATAAACAAGTCTTGCCAGCCTCAGAAAAAGTATCTCAGGAGGAAAAAACAAAGAAATACATTATAAAAAGGATAAAACAGGCAACAGGTTAAGTTCCTCTGGGAAGCAAAGATGAACAGAAAGAACCTCTAAAGCATGTAAGGAGTTTGGAAGTCCCTACTTCATCCTAACAAGTAAAAAGCTGAACAAACTAAAAATCCAACAACTCTCCTTAGATCCATCAGAGAAGCAAAGTGACAGAGCAAACTATTACCCCCCAAACTGGAGAGGCAGATAGGCAGGGACAGCAAATCACAACTTACCTGGCCAGGAAACTTCCACCTGAACCAGAGGAAAAAAACCTGTGCTAGAAATATCTTCTCCTTGCTGAAGGAGAACCTGAACTGTAAAACTGCTGGAGGTTCAGTGTGGACAAGCCTAAGAGTTACAAACTCCAGGGGGAACCTGTCATGGAGGGAGGGAGGCACTCTATCACTTCTCACAGAGAATTTTTGAGAAAAATACCCTAGTCCTTAAGGCAGGAGGAGAGTTAAAGTAATCATTTATAAAAATAAGCCCAGAGCACTCTATCTTCTTAAAAGAAAACTGCCCTTAGGAGAAACTATTTTACCAAAGCCTAATCTATTGGAGTTTTATCAGAGTTGTATTGACCTGGGAAAAGGGAAATTCACAATTCCAGCCCTCTCTAGCCATCTTGTCCAACCTAAGAAAGGCAAAAACTGATAAGCACGTGAAGTTCACAGTTCAGGGGAAAGACTCACTAAAAGACTGAGACCTAATCACAGACTACAGAATGCTTCCTCTCCCACCACACCTCATGGCCTACTCACTGTAGTTCCTTTCACCCGGGACATCGTCTCTGGCTAAAATTAGCCTGGACATGGTGACTCACACCTATAATCCCAGCACTATGAGAGGCCAATGCAGGAGGATTTCTTGAGCCCAGGAATTTGAGAGCAGCCTGGGCAGCACAGTGAGACCCCATCTCTACAAGAAAGAAAATTTTAAAAAGTTGGCTGGCATGATGGCATGCACCTGTAGTCCTAGCTTCTTGGGAGGCTGGGATGGGAAGATCACTTGAGCCCAGAAATTAGAGGCTGGAATGAGCTATGGTAATTCTACAACACTCTAACTTGACCAACAGATAAGACCCTGTTCCAAAAACAAAACAAAGACAAAAAAATGACAAGGCATACTAAAGGGCAAAATACACACTCTGAAGAAACTAAGCAAGTAAATATCAGAACCAGAGTCAGATAAAACAGGAATGTTGAAATTATCAGACCAGGAATGTTTAAACTATGACAAGAGTTTTAATGCAAAAAATAGACAACATGCAAAAGAGGAGTAATGTAGAAATTCTAAGAAAAAAATCAAAACCAATGCTAGAAATCAAAAACACTATCATGGAAATGAAAAACGCTCATTAGTAGGCTGGACACAGCTCAGGAAAGAATCTCTGAGCTTGAGGATATGCCAATAGAAACCTCCAAAACTAAAAAGGAAACAGAAAAAACTGGAAAACACAGAAGTGAATCCAAGAACTATGGGAACACTACGAAAGATGTAACATACACATGATTGGGGCTACCAGAAGAGAAAGAAAGTGAAGGGAACAGAGGAACTTTTTCAAGCAATAATGATTGAGAATTTCTCCAAATTAATGTTAGACACTAAACCATTTACCCAGGAAAACCAAAGAGCATCAAGCAGAATAAATGCCAAAATGAACAAATAAATTTAAAAAAAAAATCAAATGATATGCCACCATACCTTAGCATATCATGTTCAAACTACATAAAATTGAAGATTAAGAAAACAATTTCCAAAGAAGCTGGGGGATAAAACAGCTGGCCTGGAGAGGAGCAAAAATAAAAATTGCATGTGACTTCTCCTCACTAACCTCAGAAGCAAAAAGAGAGTGCAGGCAAATATTAAAAGAAAAACACCACTGTAAAAACAACACAAATATAAAATTGTATATCCTGGGAAAATACTCTTCCTTTTTTTTTTTTTTTTTTTGAGACAGAGCCTCAAGCTATCCCCCTGGGTAGAGTGCCGTGGCTTCACAGCTCACAGCAACCTCCAACTCCTGGGCTCAAGCGAGTCTCCTGCCTCTGCCTCCCAAGTAGCTGGGACCACAGGCGCCCGCCACAAAGCCCGGCTATTTTTTGGTTGCAGCCATCATTGTTGTTTGGCGGGTCTGGGCTGGATTCGAACCCGCCACCTTAGGTGTATGTGGCTGGCACCCTAGCCACTCGAGCCACAGGCACCGAGCTGGAAAATACTCTTCAAAAATGAAAGAGAAAAAAGGATTTCTCAGACAAATAGAAATTGAAGGAATCAATTGCCAGTAACCTATTTTGCAAAAACTGCTAAAAAAAAAAAAAAAAAAAAAAAAAAAAAAGTTCTTCAGGGCAGCGCCTGTGGCTCAAAAGACTAGGGTGCTGGCCCCATATACCAGAGGTGGTGGGTTCAAACCCGGCCCTGGCCAAAAACTGCAAAAAAAAAAAAAAAAGTTCTTCAAGTATCATTCCTACATCTTATAGAAACTCCACAATCTACATAAAAAATGAAGAGTACTGGAGAAGAAATAAGTGAAAGTAAAAACTTTCAACTTTCCTATTAATTTACCAGATAACTTTATATAAAATAATAATGGCAACAAAGTATTTGTTATATATGCTTATATGCATATACATGCATAAAAATACAAAGTAGCACAATTAAGTTCTCCAACTCACCCTAGAAAAAAGCACTACCTACTTCACTGCTGCGTATCACTATGGTCACCTTAAAAGTACTCCCCTGGGGAAGCTATGCACCAACACCAGTGCCTCGTCCAGCCTTGGAAGCAGGTTTTCTAGGATGAGTTTGCTCTCTTAATTGACAATGCTGGTACAACTAAAGCTCTAATAGCCATTCCAGAAAAAGAGTTCCAAAATTGATTTGAAGAGTGGACTAGGGCTGGTATTGGTGCATAGCTTCCCAAGGATAGGACTTAGAAGGTGACCATAGTGAGACTGAGCAATGAGGAATGCAGCACTTTTTCTATGATGAGTTCACAAACTTAACTGTCAGTCCCTGTATTAAAACAACACCCAAACTTACCTCGGTTTTTAATGTGAATCTGGCTGGGCTGGAAGGAAACTATCACGTATTAAGGACCAGACACAGATAATGTGCCAGACAGTGATTTCTGCACATTTAATTCCCACAACCATTTTCTAATGTAGGAATTACTGACCAGATGTTTACATTTAAAGAAATGTTAGCCAAAAGTACACATATCCACCTTGTAAGTGCACAAAGAGTTAAAACTACATACACATCCACTGCCAACCTCTTAGGTCTTCTCTACAGAAACTTTTTCCTCAAAGGTACTACACACTAAAACCATTTTTTTAGACCCAATATGACTGGTTTTTAACTTTCCAAGACAAATTAACTTGAAAATAGAGGACAAGAAAGATCACCAACCTAAATAACCCATAAACTGGACAGCTCCTGAACAAAGATAGGCTAACCTCTTTATGCTAAATACCTCAAGCTACAATATGAAAAAGGTTTATACAGTTGACTCACAAAAAGAGAAATGCTTATATATGTCACTCAAATTCCAATATGACTCTTCCCAGCATCACACAGCAGTTAAGTTATAAAACTACCTATAACACTCTTCAATGGCAGAATTCTCCCAGGGGGAAATAGTCATATTGCTACAGATTTTTAAAATTCGAAATTTTGTAACAAGTAACTACTTGGTCGAACCACCTACCTGTTACCCTGTTAAAAACAAAAATTCTGAAATTTAACATCTAAAAGTACTTGCCAAAACCCCACACATTGTGACCAAAATTTTTATTTTATAGCATAAATGCTATAAAAGTCATAAAAATATCCAAGAGGAAGGTGGTAAAAAATATAGGAGCCTTGGCTTGGCACCCATAGCTCAGTGGTTAGGGCGCCGGCCACATATACTGGGCCTAGTGGGTTAGAACAAGCCAGGCCAGTTAAACAATGATGACGACAACAATAAAAAAATAGTGGACTTTGTCCCAGGTGCCTATAGTCCCAGCTACTTGAGAGGTTGAGGCAAGAGAATCACTCAAGCCCAAGAGTTTGAGGTTGCTGTGAGCTGTGACACCACCGCACTCTACCAAGGGCGACATAATGAGACTCTGTCTCAAAACAAAACATAGGAGCCTTGTAAAAACTTCAATATTCAAGAGGGAGGTAGTGAAAAAGACCTTGTGAAAACTTCAAGATAGAGGAGCTAAAGGTGAGAAACAAATATGTGTACTTATCTTTGTTGTTAAATTAACACTACCTTCTGTAAAATTTACAATTTACTAATTCATAGAAATGAAACATACTTACAGTTATGTGAACATTGAGGAATTATCATTGCAATGTTAAAATATTCAAAGCAAATTCCACAACGAAGCAAATCATCTACAGTCTGAAATGCAAAAATACATATAAACACATCAGAATATATACATATCAGAAAGACACCAAGATTGGAATGTCCACCACAGAACTTTTCTCTGTTCACTAAAAAATTCATTCAATCACATATCGTTGTCAAATATACACACGTAAAAGCTAACTCCAGATAAACTGCAAAAGATCTTGATGAATAGAGGAAAAAACTCCCTTTTATGACTCTTATACATTTAATCTCAGGCTATCCAAATTGCTTAGCTAGATAAAGCTGATACTGCAGATTCCTACGCCATACTGCAAGCCATTTCTGCTCCTCTTCCCACATGTTTCCAGCTTTTCCTCCAAGTCTCCTCTTCAGACTTCATGCCCTCGCCTATAGTCACTGTTGGGTGAAAGGTACGAGTAACACTAGTCACCACACAGGTTAAGAACCGAATCAGAGCCTATTAAAGCCAAATATTAGAAATTACCTAATTAAAACTCTAACTTCACAAATAAGGAAGTATACCCAGAGCAGGCACACAATACTGGCATGAGTCAAGTAAAAACGAAAATTCCTATCTCCTATCTCTCACTGGCAGTCTAGTGCTTTCTGCATGTTACCACCATACAGTGAAGCCAAATGAGGAAGCCCTGGAAATAGTTGGAGCCGATGACAGCACAGGAAGGTGAAGAAGTGGACAATCTGGGAAGTCAAATAGACGCATATCAATCTAGAATGCAATCTGAACAGAAAAGGACCGATTCTCGCTATTCTAAAATCTTTTAAATCATTTAAAATACAATGTTATTGGCTCAAGCGGCTAAGGTGCCCAGCTACTTGGGAGGCGGAGGCAGGAGAATCACTGGAGCCCAGGAGTTGGAGGTTGCTGTGAGCTGTGATTACACAGTACTCTACCCAGGGCCACAGCTTGAGGCTCTGTCTCAAAGAAAAATATACAATGTCGCCAAAAAAAAAATACAATGTTATTCCATCCAACAGAATATTGAGCAGTTTTTTTTTTTAAAGAAAAAGCTCTCCTTTGTAATGATATGAATGAAAAGATTGCTAAGATAAGAAAAATAAAGTACAGAGAATACATTGGTATGCTACCTTTTGTTTAAAAAGGAGGGATAAGAATGTATTCTTTTTTAAATATTTATAAAGAAATTCTAAAAAAGATACATAAGAAAAGATACATAATAACTAACCAATACTAAGGGAGAGAACTAGACAAGTGAGAGAGCAAGGATGGCGGGAGGGAAACTTTTATTTTCCATTTTATGTATTTTTTGAACCATGTGAATCTATTAGCTAAATTTTAAAAATTTAAACAAAAATGCTAATGTCACTAATGGTCCATATGATGAAATATTACATAGCCATTAAAAAACATTCTTTCAAAGAATAATGCCACAGAAAAATGTTCATGTTTTAATAGGTTTCTTTTTTTTTGAGACAGAGCCTCAAGCTATTGCCCTGGGTAGAGTGTCGTGGTGTCACAGCTCACAGCAACTTCCAACTCCTGGGCTTAAGCGATTCTCTGGCCTCAGTCTCCTGAGTAACTGAGACTACAAGCGCCCACCACAACACCCAGCTATTTTTTGGTTGTAGTTGTCATTGTTTGGCACCAGGCAGGATTCAAACCCGCCAGCTCTGGTGTATGTGGCTGGCACCTTAGCCGCTTGAGCTATAGGCACTGAGCCATAGGTAACTTTTTAAAGTCAGAAAACAAATCTATAGCAATAATACATAATAATAGCAACTCTGTACTTTAATCTTCGTAACAATCTTACTAAATCCATAGCTTCAGTGTCCCAGTTTTTAAACATAAAGGCTGGCTCAGCACCTGCAGCTCAAGCAGCTAAGGTGCCAGCCACATACACCAGAGCTGGTGGGTTCAAATCTGACCAGGGACCTGCCAAACAACAATGACGACTACAACCAAAAAATAGCTGGGCGTTGTGGGGGGCATCTGTAGTCCCAGCTACTCAGGAGGCTGAGGCAAGAGAAATCGTTTAAGCCCAGGAGTTGGAGGTCGCTGTGAGCTATGATGCCACAGAACTCTACCCAGAGCGACAGCTTAAGGCTCTGTCTCAAAAATAATAATAATAATAATAATAAATAAAATAAAGCTAAAGGCTATAGGGTTCCTGAGTGGCTGGGTCAAACCCAAAAAGTTGACTCTGAGGCGATTCCAAATTTTAAATGTACAAAAACTGAAGGAAAATAAAAGCTTAAAGAGTAATTATCTCTGGGTGGTAGAATTGAGCAATTTTCACTTTCTCCTTTATCTTCTTACTCTGAATTTTAATTTTTCTCTACTATGTACAACATTACATATATAATCGGTAAAAACCAATAAATTTTTGTTACGGTAAAACCAGGGAAATAAGCATTAAATGCCACAATCTTCCATTATTCTGGACGGTAAACTACCTAGACACAAAAAGCTAAAAGATTATGCTGAAGCTCAATTAAGAGCAAAGGCAGGACCAGAGTCAGACCAGTCTATTACACTTTCTTATCTATGCCATCCTCATCAGAGGACAAAGTGGTTCTGAAAGACCTGTAGAGCACAATTTGTGGAAGGTGACATGGCATCAGATGAGCTGTAACTTCCTTGGACAAATTTCCAGTCATGCCACTCCAAGACAGCAACACACATACCACACTGTGCCTCCACCAAAGAAAAGAAAAGATAAAGAATGCCAGAATAGAGGGTGGCGGGAGATGCCCCAGAATTTATTTCTTTAGTGACAAAGCACAAGGGGGAAGCAGAAAGTAGGTGAAGAGACAATAATTATAAAAATATTCTTAAGTCTTGGGGGTTACAGATCTCTCTGAAAAAAGGATGAAAACTATGAACTCTCTTCTCAAAAAAACATACATGCTGACAAAAATTTTATAAGTAATTTGAGACTCCAAAGTCTTTCCATGGATCCCAGGTTAGGAACCACAGATTCTGAGTCAGATTTCTAATCAATAGAAGAAAAAACTTTGAACAGTCAGATCTGCTTTGGGGAGCAGGTAGTTCTTTGACCCTGGAGGAGTTGAAGAAAAAATTAAATTAAAAAAATTAGCAGATATGTTATAAGAGGGATTAAAACACTAGAGGGAGCTGACTTTCCAACTTTAAGATTCCATAATTCTAATGTGAGCTCAGTATATGCTCAATCGACTCTCTGCTTGAACATACCCTCTAGTGCTGAACTCTACTTTTAGTGCTGTGGTGAGATATCGAAGTCAGAGGAGATGTGGAACCTGCCTCCAAAGAAGACTACAGTCATGGGAATATATGCAATATGCTTAAATCTACATGTTTAAGCAGGAGCATTACAGGCTACAGAGCTCTTTGATGTTTTTCTTAACAGTTATACTTTTTTTCTTTTTTGTAATTTTTTTTTATTTCAGGTTAACATGAGGGAACATGCAATTAGGTTACAAAGTTTGCTTTTCTAAGGTTAAAGTCCAAGCTGTAGTTGTGTCCTTTGGCCAGGAAGTGTGCCATATACCTGTCCAATGTACCTCTTTCCTGCCTCCCCCCTACATGAATTTAATTGATCTTTTCTCTCACGTGAGCATGTAGTTGTTAATCTACTAGTTTCAATTTAGTACTAAGTACATGTGATGCTTGCTTTTCCATTCTTATGATACTTCACTTAGGAGAATGTTCTCCAGTCCCTCCAGGGTGTTAAGAAAAGATACAGGCGACTGTAGCTCAGTGGCTATGGTGCCGGCCACAGGCACCAAGGCTGGCGGGTTCGAGCCCAGCCCCAGCCTGCTAAACAATGACAACTGCAACAAAAAAATAGCCGGGCTTGGGGTGGTGCCTGTGGCTCAAGGAGTAGAGCACCAGCCCCATATACCAAGGGCGGGAGGGTCAAACCCGCCCCCAGCCAAACTTCAACAACAAAAAAAAAAAAAAAAATAGCCAGGCTTTGTGGTGGGCCCCTGTAGTCCCAGCTACTTGGGAGGCTGAGGCAAGAGAATCACTTAAGCCCAAGAGTTTGAGGTTGCTGTGAGCTGTGACACTACAGGATTCTACTGAGGGCAACATAGTGAGACTCTGCCTCAAAAAAAAAAAAAAAAAAAAGATACAAAAACCTTCTTTTATAGCTGAATAGTCTTTCATGGTATGCATATGCCACAATTTATTCATCCATTCATGTATTGAAGGGCAGATGGGTTGTTTACACATCTTTGCAATTATAACAATTCGTTCTTCATGACAACAAATGAAAAGGGGAGAGAAACGTTTAGCACATGGTAAGTGCTAATAATAAGAAAGATATACATATTTTACATAACATTAATTGAATGCTTACCACATTCTGTATGCTTTCGATCTATTAGCACATAATTTTTGAGCACCCACTTTACATCAGGATCAGTACCCACACAGATCAACTCAGTTAAATAACCTTATCAATTGTTTATTTTTCTAATTTATATTAATAGTTAAGGAAATTCAGGCTCAGAGAAGTTAAGTAACTGACTCAAAGGTAATATAATTAATAAAAAGCACAAACCAGATTTAACCAGAATCACTGGAACTCAAATCTATGCTCTTCTCCCTTATATCTTGGTGCCAAGGAAACCACAACTTCAAAACCACAGGTTTCTCACCATGGGACTATTTCAGGTCCCCAAGGACTGTAGATGGCATTAATGACAATAGGTTGAACAAAGCCATCTTCTCCATTTAGCCTTCACTTAAATCCTGAAGGCTCCTACAGAACAGATACTGTAGTCCTCCAGTTTACAAAACATAAGAACAGAAGGAGCAAGTTATCTTACCCACAGTCGCAAACAGAAAAAATCACAGAGCAAGAAGAAAAACCAAGCAAACGATTCTCAGCCAGCACAGAAAAGTACAACTGATCTTGAGCAAACCTAGCAGGAATCCAGAGCCCACCACTCCTGTAAACGGAAACTGGTATGCCTTGTGGAAACAGAAAGTGGCCACAAAAATGTTACTAAAATAAAATAATTCAGTAAAATGAAAGACTAGTGCTTGAGTCCTGATATTGTAAAGGAGAGGTAAGCAATTATTAGAGCAGAGTTAGAACATTTGCAGGGAGTTGGGGCAGTATGTTAGGGCAAACCAACCCTGCTTAAAGGGTTATGAGAGGAAATGAAAGGACATGAAAAAAAGAAGCTTCTTCCATGACTTAGCAATGGAACATATTCTTCTTAGCAAAGTATCTCAAGAATGGAAGAAAAGGTATCCAATGTACTCAGCCCTACTATGAAACCAATTTATAAAGCTATAACCCAATTATAGCCCAAGAAAGGGAGGAGAGAAGGGGAGGAGGGAGAAGAAGGGGGAGGATGGGTGGGACCACACCTACGGTGCATCTTACAAGGGTACAAGTGAAATTTATTAAGCGTAGAATATAAATGTCTTAACACAATAACTAAGAAATGCCGGGAAGGAAATGTTAACCAGTTTGATGAAAATATTTCAAATTGTATGTAAAACCAGCACATTGTACCCCATGATTGCATTAATGTACACAACTATGATTTAATTTAAAACAAAAAAAAGAGTTTCCCACTTGACGTGATTAAATGTTATTTGATATAATGTCCCGGTCACTGTTTACATAGTGCTTGGCACATACTTAACTCTCAAACAGCTGTAATTGTCATTGTTCTCGATGTCATTGTTATTGTTGTGAGCGAACCTCAGAATATTTGGCTCCAGGAGACGGCCAACCTCAGCTCACCGTGAGGGACCGAGGTCTGCATTTGTCTTTTCTCGGAAGAGGAAACTAGGGCCCAGAGCCACGCGATCTCTAGTAGCATAGCAAAGCCGGGTCCTCAGGCCCAGTTCGCCGTTCGCGCCTCGTACCTTCTCTTCAAGGCGGGGCTGGCCTCCCGCAGACACCCAGAAGCCCCCAGCCTTCCTGAATCACTCACCTTCATGACCGCCAGGCCCGGAGGCCACCGAGGCTCAACCAAGGAGTCCATAGTCGCAAGTGAAGACACTGGGGGTCCGCCACCCACTGGCCTCCGGCGTTTCACTACCACTCGAAATTCCCCGCGCAACAGCGCACGTCAGCAGTCGGCGCCGCCCCTGAGGCGTACGCGAAGCCTGCCGGGAGTTGTAGTATGTGGGCGGGGCTCCACCGAAGGAGCTTGCACTGCGCGTGCTTCCGGAGCGCGACTCACGCAGTTGAGTAATTAGAAACCCCCAATTAAATGTTAGGAAGAAACAGCCGAGGAATTCAACAAATCCATGTTTTGCCAGATCTTTCAAGGTTGGGCTCAAGGTTATCCTCAAGTCTCCTCTTTTGGATTGCTCTTCTCGATTGCTACAATGATCTGTCCCTGCTCTGACCAGTTTTTATATCCATGACTTCATCCTTCCCAAATCACAATACTGTTAGGATGGTAGTATGGTTGTCAGTTAACACAACGGGAAGTTATGGCCCCCAAAGTGAATAGTTTCCTTGAGTCTCACAGTGGCATTGACCAGACTCCAAATAGGGCCTCTAGGCTTTAAATAAAAGGGTTTCCTTCTCCCCCTCCCTCCCTCCCTCCCTTCTTTTATTTCTTTCTTTCTTCCTTCCTTCCCCTTTGCCTTCCTTCATCTTTCCCTCTCTCCATCTCCTTCTTTCCATTTCTCTCTCCCTCCAAGACCCCTCCTCTATCTTTCCTTTCCTCCAATAAAATTAAAATTTTAATTTACAGTTATTTTTCCTTAGAGAGAACCACCGTTAACTTTGGCATACTGCCTTCTGGATATTTCCCATGCAGATTAACAAATTCTTTGCTTGGCCAAACTTTGGTCAGGATAAAATCCAGTTTTAACCAAGAACCCTGCTAAATCGCTTTGACCAGAAGCCCTACCCTTGATATCCAATCACCTTCGGTATCTGATGGATTCTTTAGCCTCCACCATCCCCCAGGTGATGTCTGATCACTCAGTCCTCTTCTCACTAAGAATCCTATTAAGTCAATTTAGCTGGAGTTCCTTCTCACCCGATGTTTCATCTTAGTAATTTATATGCATTGCCTCTTATCATGCTCCTTGACCGTAAATTTCCATTTGCCCATGCAAATGGGCAGAATTGAGGGAGAATTGAGCCCAATCTCCCCCTTTTGTAGGACCCAATTGAGGTGGTCCTATGGTGATGGTCCTGATTGCATCTTCTTTACTATCAAAACGAGCGTCATTGAATAATTTTTAACAAGATACAAACAGATACTTTGTACCCCGCAAGTATTATTATATTAAATGCATATCTCTGCCAACTTAGGCTTTATTGTTGTTTGTCTAGTTAATTAATGTCTTGAGATCTCTACAGGCTTGTGCATATAGATTTACCTTATCTTTTTAACAGCTGCGTAGTCCATAATATAGATGTGTCACAATTTATCTAGTCCCCTATTAAGGGGCATTTAGATTGCTTCCAGATTTTCACTATTGCAAAGAGCTGCAGTGAACACGCCATGTTTATAAATCTTGAAACACTTGAGCCAGGCTACATGGGAGATGATTTGCTATAAATGGAACTACTAGACCAACTTGTATACTCTTAAAACTGATAAGTAGCCCTAAAAATGATCCTCCAAAAAGGAGGTACTGATACACTTGCACTCTCACTCAGAGTATAAGAGTGCCTGTTAACTAAATATGAAGCGCTGACCAGCACACCACTCAGCCTATCAGCTTATCTCAGCTTTCATTCGCTGCCTTCTGTAGGCCTCTGCTGCATCAAGTCTGATGGACAGCAAGCAGCCCAGATGTTGCTCAGTGCAGAACTCTAAAGTTTACCATGCCACTGTTGCCCTGTATGGTCCATACAGTCAACAGATATTTTTTAAATGCTTACAAGGGGCCAGGCCCTTGAGCTTTCCTGGGAAGTAGGCAGTTGAGGTTGTTACTGCCATTTTACAGATGAGGACTCCGAGGCTTAGAGCGGTTAAGACTTCATAAGGAACTTCTGTCCCCTGAGCCAAAGCTGTACTCAGTTGATTTGTCTCAACTTGTGCCCAAATATTCATTTGGCGATAATAATGATAGCATTTGAACCAAAGACTTTAATAGCTTATTATGCATTACAGCTGACATTTGTTAGGTATTTACATGCAAAGCATTGTTCTGCCTGTTTTTACACATATGCATTTATTTGACTTATTCACTAATTATTCAGACTTACTCTAACCAATTGAGGAAAGGAAAACGTAATTTGCCCAGGGCACGCTGCTAGGTAGTGAAAGAGAAAGGCCTTGAATCAGGCTACCTGGCTTAAGAATCCATATTAGCCACTACAGAATATTCTCGTAAAGACCTCATCATGAGAATTATTCCCAATGTATAAACATAGGAACTGAGTCTCAGAAAGGCAAAGAACTCACATAGAGCACTAAATCATACAGTTTGTCAGTGACAAGGCCCAGGCTTGAACCTGGGTCTTTTAACCCCAAGCCAGAGGAGATCACCTATTGATGTTTTATTGAGGAATAATTGAGCAGGCAAGAAGGCAGAACCAAGTTTGAGAATCCCAGGATACCGGACCTAGTGCGACACCTACAGTGAGATGAGAAGGGAAGGGTTAAGATGAGAGGCCCCAGTGACTTTGTATCAGTTAATTAGAGAAGAGCAGGCAAATGAACTACCGGCTGAGATGGATGGTGTTGGGGCCTCTGGTTGCAGTGGGTAGTCTTAGGGAGCAAGGGAAATAAGTCCAAAACCAGGTCCCCAGTCTGCGTGCACCAATAATTGTTCCTTTATGGTACTAGTTGGTTACAAGGTAACTAGGTTTAAGGTGACAAATGTCTGGGAAAGTGAGAGAGGAAGATAGAAGAGATAGGGTAAAAGTGAGAGAATGGAGAAGAAAGGAGAGAGAGAAGATTGGGAAAGAAATGCATTTTTCCCCTTTACCCAGGAAGACAGATCTGGAAGCTGGCTTCACTTCTTGGTTCTGGGGTCAAATTTTACTTCCCCGTCTATAGAGACCCTCCAGGACAGCACTCTGTGCCGTTCACCTCTGAGTCTGTGCTGCCAGCCACTCAGGGAGGCTGAATGAATGGGAGAATCATTGAAGAAGGTAGCATTCCCATAAATCTTTTCTTTGCAGGCTGAGCGTTTCTCTTCTGGCCCCCTTCAGCAGCACCAGGGGACATAGATACCTCTCAAGCCTGGGCTTGAGAAGGAAAACTTGAGGACACAGCAGGTTCTCAAAGCCCACTTTGAGCTCAGGACCAGGCATTGTCTCGCCCTCCCCTCCATATGCACCCGCCCCCGGGAGTCATTCTCTTCTTAACAAGCTGCTGTTTCCCTGGACTTCTCCTTCTGTTAGACCAATAAAGAGATTGTACTTCCTTATTCAGGAATAAAAACAAAATGTTCCAAAAAAAATTTTTTTTGTAAATGGCTGACTAGTGCTCAGTGGAATCTCCTGTGGCACTTAGCACAGGAATCTAGAACAGGATGATGGATAAAATGCAGAAAGCCCAGTAAATCAGAATTTTAGCTAAACAGCGAACAATTATTTAGTGTAAGATGTCTTCAATATTATATACAACCTACTCTTATACTTAAAAAAAACTCCTGTTGTTTATTTTTTTACAATGCATTCTGTATTTTTATTTGCCAAATAAAAATTGGCAAAATTCTCCGGTTACGGTTATCTGACAACGTAACTGGAGAAACAGTGTCCCACTTGAGTGTGGGGCCCGGCCTGGATTAACCTTGGGAGGTCCCCTGACCTCCTGCGCTCCTTTGCAGGGTCTCTTCACTGTATGCCTCTCTGTTCACCACTCTACCTTGCTCTAGGACCCATGCTCTTTATTCTGTCATGAAAGAGGGGGTATGAAGACTCAGAGCCTTAACCAACCCTTCCTCTTTCACTCCCTTTATCTCTCTCTTCCTCCCCCTTTCCCTCCATCTCTCCCTTCTTCCATCATTCCCTTCCTCTATTCATATTTATAAATATTTATTGGGCCACCTGTGCCAGATGTTTATTGGGCCCCTACCCACCTGTGCCAGGTGGTAGGATACAGAGATGAACAAGATAGACATGGCCCCTGCTCTCAAGGGGCTGACACCCTGGGGGTATACAGGGGGCCAGGACAGAAACAAGAGAGTGTGTAAGAAAATGAATTAAGGTAATTTCATAAGGGAGGTGCCTGTGGCTCGGTGAGTAGGGCACTGGCTCCGTATACTGAGGGTGACGGGTTCGAACCCCAGCCAAACTGCAACAACAACAACAAAAAATGCCTGGGCATTGAGGCAGGCACCTGTAGTCCCAGCTACTCAAGAGGCTGAGGTAAGAGAATCACCTAAGCTCAAGAGCTGGAGGTTGCTGTGAGCTGTGACGCCACAGCACTCTACCGAGGGCAACAAAGTGAGACTCTATCTCTAAAAATAAAAATAAAAAAATAAAAGATAAATTTAAAAAAGATAATTTCATAAAAGAGTGATCCATGTAAAAATAACAAAAGAGGATGATGAAATTCAGCATGGGGGACACTATAAGTTAAATGATCAGGGAACCCCTCTCTGACGTGACTTTTATGCTGATAAGATAGAGGCAGCTTTACAAAGACCCCAAGAGTGGAGAGTTCCAGGCCTTGGCCACGTTTACTTGGTCAAGATGTTTACTTCACTGTGTCTGAGTTTTCTCATCTGTAAGATGAGGATGATATTAGTAGTGTGTGTGATGCTGTAATGAAGTTGTGTGAATTAAATGAGTAATTGCAAGCCAAGTGCCTAGCACAGTGCCTGGCACCTAGTAAGCCCCATGTGAATGTCAGCAGTCATTGTTATTTCCTTGCCATAAACACAGGGGGAAGCCCTTGGAGGGTTTTAGGCAGGGGTGTGCCATGATACCGGATTACATTTTCTAAAGGTTACTCTAGCTACTGGGAGAAGAAAGGATTATAGAAGAGAAAGGATACAACAGGTGATAAAGGGCTGAAGGTGGTGAGCAGTCAGGAGGAATGAAAGCACCGTGGGCCCC